GAGAGAGAGAGAGAGAGAGAGAGAGAGAGAGAGAGGGAACGTCGAAACTGCACGCTTCAAAGGCTCGCGATGTTCGAATGACGTCATCCGAGCAAACCATGTCACCCGTCCGACGCCTGTGTTGCCAGAGGACACATGGGAAACGGCAATGTGCACGGAGACGTGCCACCTAACGCTGTCTTCTGGCCAAGCGATGGCTGCACGAACGTGCTGTGAAGCTCGTTGCCCGAAACGCCCGTGTCGTTTCGGCCACAGAAGAAAAAAAAAAAGGAAAAAAAAAAACAAAAAAAAATCCAACAAACAAAAGTGAAAACAACTGGAGAACAATAAAAATCAAATTCCTCGTTTTTTTTTTCCACTTCTTTATTATTTTTTTGTTATTTTTGCTGGCGGCCGGGTCACTTCCATGTCCGGATGCAACAAAGCGGACAGACCGGCAGGCCGATGGGTTTCCCTCAGCACGTGGCCTACCGGGTCCCACATCTGAAACGGCAACTGTGGGTGGGACTAGGTCGTCTGCGTGAAATCGGTCGCGCAGCAAAAAATGGGTGATCGCGGCCCACCTGTCCTATGACAGTTTTTAACCGGCGGGGGGGCCAGTGGTTTAACACAACCGCTTACCTCATACCCTGCTAACCCTACCCCTGCGTCTTCGGGGAAGGAAAGACTCCCTTCCTCCCATTGCTATCGTCTAGACTCAAAGCAAAGCTAACATCAAAGACATGAATGGCCATCTTCAATCCCTCAAAGGAAATTGAAAACAGTGTGGCAACCCCTTGCCAAACCTGTTGACACCACAGGGGATTCAAAACCACCCTAACTATACCATTACCATACGGTTGAGGAAGAGGGAAGGGTATACAAAAAAACGAGGATAGCAAACCCCACCAAACCTAGTTCACTACTCTCGAAAAATCATTTTCAAGAGTTGCTGCATAGCCACACAGCCTCGCCCATACATCGGCCCCGGAAGAGGCTCGGGGTACTGCCCTCAAAGGCTGGCGCCGCCAGCCAAAACAAACTTTTCTTGTTGCACTGGCAGGTAGGCGTGAAATGGCGCGCAGCCCGTTTTCAGGCTCGGCATGGATAGGTGGGCCAAGTACTTGTTGTCGAGAGCAGTCAGAGTGGCTCCTGAAACCCTTTCGAGAGCAGCAGCTCTTGAAAGATTGGAAACCGCCAGCCCCTGCAACTCGTGCGTTTTCAAGCGTCCTTGGCCGAACCCTCGAGGGACTTTCGATTTTCAAGAGTTGTCAGGCCCTTATCCTGACGCCATTGGGAAAAAACAAAGCTGTATGACTGGGGCTTTTATTTTATTTTTTTCTGGTTGTGGGTCCGAAGGACCACGGATCAGATGTTAAACTGATCCGAACAGATACAATGCACTTGATCTTAGCCAGAAGGCCGAGAAAGGTGACTGCCCATTTTCATCCTCTGTCCAACACCATCGCCCTTTCGAGAGTGCTGTGTGGCGAGGGGCCGAAAACTCTTGAAAACCCAACTCTTGAGAACGTCTGGCAGCTCGTGAAAAATTTCTCCTATTTCAAGAGTGGTGTGGCGAGGCCCTTTCTTCGACTGGTTTGTTCCGTTCTGATCATTAGTAGTAATCAAGCAATCCTCCTCTCACCGAGTTCGAGTCTGCGCGGGCGCGAGTGACTCGGAGGACGAAAGATGGCTGAGCATCCATGGCCCGTGCACGGTCGTGGTGCCTGTTTGCCTGGCTGCCAAAGCTTTCGGATGATCATCCTCTCCCGCTCTCTCCTACTTCAATCCCTTGCTTGTGTCCTGCTGCTTGCGATGACTTCTATGCGGGTTAATGGCGCAGCTTTCAAGCGACCGATCCTTGGCCGATGGTCTTCGGCTAGCAATGCTCCTGACCCGGGAGACAGCCACGCCCGTCTTCTCGCCCTGCACGTCAGACGCAATATGGCGATGGTGTCGACCGCGCCGCCTTCCTCGCCTCCAGTGGCTGAGTCGGAAGGGAGCATGACACTGCTACAACCCGAGCTCTTCCTACCGAGCAACCGGAGCGTAGTGCCTCCCATTGTCGTTCATACCACTTCTCCAGACTTTGAGACGACAGCTTCTGGGTGGGTGTGCGCATCTATCATTCGCGACTTCACGTTTCATCCTACCGATACCCAGATGTACTTCATTCTCGACGAGCTCTGTATAAGTAGAGATGAAGGGGATATTGTAAGTCGGCGGTTCTCCATACGAAAAGCCGATCTTGCGCTGGCGCGCCAGGGTTTCAAAGATAGCTCGGTGCTCAGCTATTGGTGGCGCTATGGCGCAGAGAGCGGCCTGAGTGAGACATCTGACTTCGTGTGGAGGAAGAATATAACTGACAACATATCAATGGCGTACCTGTTTGGTCTCGACGTGAACAGAGAAGGAGACCAGCTGGTCACTGGGGCAAGTCCGGGCATTGGGACTCAGTCGAGTGTGGTGTGGCTTTCCACGGTGAATGGCACTCGAACGAGCGTCGAGATAACTGCGGACTTTGTATGGAGCGTGGCATTCAATCCGAAGAAGACGGAACTGTTCATCTCCGACGTCGCCAGTCCCGTTCGGATTCTGTCGACGGCGGTCACAGACTCCGGGAGGCTGGACGCCAACGGGAAATGGAAGGAAGTGTGTAATTCCTCCACCGGCGACCCGAACATTACACGCGCTGGATTCGACTCAAGTAGCTTTCTGCCGGACGAGAGCTGCCTTTATTTCGCCGACAGCAAGTATAACCGCGTTTGGGGAATCGATCCTCGCTCCCCTTCCGCGACGGCCACCCTTGTGGCCGGGTCGGGTCAGAGCGGGTCCGTCGATGGCGATGGTCCCAAATCTCAGTTCGATTCCGTGGCGAACGCAGTATCGACACCGGACGGTTGTAACGTCTTCGTTACCGAGCTTGGGAGCGGTTTACTTCGGTGGCTGAAGCTGGACGCGCACTGCACCACGGCGACCAGAGTACACCAGGTCGCCAGATACAGTGCCGGCGGGTTGTGGGGATTGGCGCTTCGCCAAGCGGGCAGCGAACTAAGTCTGTACGTCGGAGCGTCCGATGGTTCCGTGTTCGAGCTGATAATCAACAATTCGCATCTCCACTCTTGCTCGCCTGCTACTCCCGCTTCTGGCCCCTCGCCTCCAGAATTTTCGTCGGCTGGCCTCAGCTCCCGACGAACTAATTTACATCTCGTGGTCGGGCTGTCCGTGTCGATCTCAGCCTTCCTGGCGCTTGCCACGTGCCTTATTGTCCTTGTGTACAGAGCGCGCCGGAATGGAGGGAAACAGGGGCAGGCTAAATCGTCGCCGAATGCAACTGGTAGCTCAACTGTCGAGATCGGACGGACCACCAATGACACTAGGGAGGGGGTTGCATGCCAGGAGGGCGGGAGAGGTGGGGGACTTCAGCCCTTGCAAGTGAGACGATTCTCGCTGGCAGCTCTGCAGCATTGCACAGAAAATTTCAGCAAGAGATACCGCATCGGGGACAGTGGAGCGTTCGGAGATGTGTACTGGGGCTCGATCGACGATCAGGATTTGGCCATGAAGGTGATGACGGGGGATCTGACGGAGGGAAAGAGAAGCATGTTCCTGGCAGAAGTGAACACGTTGAGCAGACTCCATCATGCCAACCTTATCGGACTGGTGGGATTCTGTGACGAGGGGAGTCGGTCGATCTTGGTGTACCCCTACTTCCAGGGAGGAAGTCTGTACGCTCGCCTGCACCACAGAGAGAAGGCAGTTCCTGGAAGACCTCTTCTCCCTCCTCTGACACTCATTGAGCGGATTTGTATCGCCTGGCAGATTGCCAGGGGGCTCAGTTACCTTCACGGGGGAGCCGACCCGCCAGTCATTCATCGCGACATCAAGAGCAGCAACGTCCTTCTTGGTGATGGCGCTGGGGAGAAGCTGCGCATCGTGCTCGCGGATTTCGGACTAGCGACCATCGGAGAAAGAGTGTTTGGCGGGACAACACGCGACACGGCCGTGAAGACCTCGCACGTGAGCGGGACGTTCGGGTACATGGCGCCGGAGTACGTGATGAGCGGAACCCTGTCCGAGAAGATCGACGTGTACGCTTTTGGCGTGATCCTTCTGGAGCTGCTTACGGGGCGAAAGGCGGCCACGGAGGCGCCGTCCGGTAACGGGTCATTGCAAACGTTAGTGGACTGGGCGAGGCCGTTCTTGCGTAGCGAATTTATTGCTGGTGGAGGGATGCCGCATGCAATTCTGGACACTTGCTTGCGTGATGAGGTGGCGAGGTTCTCGTTCCAGCAGATGACGATGGAGGCACTGCGTTTAGCGAGCAACTGCTTGATTATTATGCCTGCTGCGAGACCAAGGATGACCGAGCTAGCGGAGAGGCTTGGGGATCTGTTGGTAAAAGCTCATGTCAATATACGGAGGGTATGAACATCTTGCACATACGACTTGGACGTGTGGCATGTTCTCGCTAGCGGATGGAGAAGGAACTGCAGCGGAGACGCTGAGCGTTGTATGCAAATGGGGGAAGGAAAAGTGATAGGTAGCAGACGGAGGTAGGTGGCTAACTGGACGAGGAAGTAGAGAGCATGGAGAACTAATACTGTAAATTAATACATAACGGCTAATAACCGTTGCGTTCGAACAGTCAGTGTCTTCCTGGACGCTCGATCAATCGATTGAGAGAGCGGGCGCGCGCGCGCCCGCGAGAGAGAGAGAGAGAGACGCGTGTGCGAGAGGCTGGATTAGCGCGCAAGAGAGAGAGAGAGAGAGAGAGAGAGAGAGAGAGAGAGAGAGAGAGAGAGAGAGAGAGAGAGAGAG